AGCATCTCCAGTTAATTCAAGCAGCCGAAGCCAAAGTGCCTTTGCTGTCAATGCCCATAACACAAAAGCCATCCCTTCAGTAGAATTTGAATCTCCGATGGTCACAAAAAACCAGCAGACACCAAACAACCGTCAGCATGGCAGCAAATCATCCACATCACTCAAAGGTTTGACGTCTAATGTGGCATCCAATACAGACTCTACACTGCCTGGGATCCCATCCACCTTCCGGCCTGTGATCTCACTGTCGGTACAAAATCCACACACACAGTCTCGTTTATCTACAGTTTCACCCGAAAATGCTATCACCAGCCCTCCTCGCGGATCACGTAACAGGCGTCCAAATACTCAAGTCAGACAACCCTCACCCCCTGTTCAGCTTCTCACGCCGCCGCACCCTGACCCAGTTGACCACCCAACCAACCGACCAAAACAGCAGCTAACACGCTCCACCTTACCCTCTGCCGGCCACCACAATTCAGGGGGTGAACAGGTATCTAGTCCTCTCAGGAGCTCTTCGATTCGAAACCCTCCATTTAGCCAGACTGGTGAAGAAAACTTGTTAAGTGGTAACAGTTCCACGCAAGATTTCAGCCAGACAGAAGGAAACCCTTACCTAGCAGCACAGTTGTACGCCGAGCGACCACAAGTAATCCAGAATTATTTCATTCAGGTTCCGGAGGGTTTCGCGGAGAGAAGTAACCAGGTGGCTGACACCGACATGATGGGTAGTGCCACGCAGGACCTGTACAAGTATAGTACACCCGACACAGGGTCTGTGAGTGTGGAGAAGGCAAATGGGACAACACGTGAAACACAGACCAACGAGCAACTCTTGCCAGAACAAATCGATCGACTGAAAAATCACAGGATGATGCCCCTGTCCTCTCACTACAGTATACTTTCACCGCGAACGCTGAAAGTCAACCCTACGAATATATCTGCCAGTGACGCCATTCTTGTTCAGTCCCTTCTGGAGCCTACAAGATACCCTCGGCTACCCTTACCTGAACATAAGAAAAACAGGTTTATTACTAGTACACAAACGACTCAAAACACAGTAGCAAACACCAGTACACGAGCGATTAGAGGCATAACTGCTAACACCAGTACAGAGGCAAGAGACACAGCTGCTAACACCAGTACAGAGGCAAGAGACACAGCTGCTAACACCAGTACACGAACGATTAGAGGCATAACTGCTAACACCAGTACAGAGGCAAGAGACACAGCTGCTAACACCAGTACACGAAAGACCAGAGACACAGCTGCTGTATCTCGACAAGCTATAAAACCCAAAGAATCTGCGACAGATCTATCAAATAATCAAAACCAATCAACTGTTGCGTTGTACAGAGGAGGTACCGCGGTGAACCAATCAGCTACTGCGTCTAACAGAGGAGGTATCGCGGTGAACCAACCAGGTACTGCAGGGTCTAACAGAGGTGTCGCGGTGAACCAATCAACTGATGCGTCCAGTAGGGGAGGTATTGCGGCAGGGAGCATATATGACGTCCACATGGACCCCTCGAACAACGAGAAAAAGGACGTACATATCAACATTCACTTGAATTTTGGTCCAGATGCACAGGCGACGGGCAGCTCACTGGACGACATGGTTATCTCTGAGGACAACCAAAACACGCTGCACAGTACACATAAGTTAGATTTTTCTCCATATTACTCCTTGTCGTTTAAACAGCCTTCTGATCCATATAGTAATCCCAATCACATAAACGGGAAAAAGGATCGCTACTCCAATGATTTACTGGACAATCATCGAGTACTAAACAAACATACCTGGGGAACTTCGTCCTCTCCTACGGCAAGTCTCGGTCCAAAATATTTTCCAATTGACTCAGCAGCACAGAACTCCTTACATGTGCCTTTTATCAAACAATTATCTTCTTCAAATAATAACAATTTATCTGTGAGACAGAAACAACACGAAGGGGTGTGGTCACGACCCTGGCAGCAACACCCTCCCCACCTCACCAAGCACGTCACCCTGCAAAACTCACCTCTCAGGCGGGAGGTCACTGGCCCGTTCAGGAGCCACCTCACGCCACTCAGAGGATCTCCATTACGGCCTCACTCATCACGTCGCTCCTTGATTCGATTTCCTGGGAAAGCTGCCTACCGTCCTCTCGTTCACACCCCCGTCAGGATGACCACCAGGCCGCCTCGGACACTGAGAGAGTTTATCATGTCCCCGCGACCTCAACCGTTAGGGGCCATCGTCCCTCACCAGCGAGACAGATCATCCTGGAATTTTTAAGTACACCAGCATGTGTACTTCATCCTGTACACACATCACAGATTCCGATGCCCGAGAGAGAGGACGAGGAGGGATGGGAGGGAGGGAGTAGTTATGAAAGGTCACGGTGTTTGGTTTGTATCTGCCTGACAACAGGGCCCGGAAATATTCACTTCAAGTTAATCACATGAAATAGAAGTCAAGCTCCATAGATATAGTCTTTTAAACTATTTATGGCGTCGTTCACAGGCATAAACAGTCTACTTTTACCTGTTATTGCTTGTCTGCATGTCTATATATTGTTTTCGCTGTATGTGTGTGTATGTGCAAACAAATATTTTATGAATGGGTAGACTGATTCTGATGAATTTTGTAAGTTAGGTTGGATGTTGAACAAAAAAGTTACGAGATTTTCATGAAAGTATAGTTCGAGGGTCACGGTCAGTTGTCTGTGTCCATCGGAGATTTGTGGGCATCAGGTTTTAGGGGTTTGAATTTACCATTACGAATGTGTAATCTTTCACCATTACGAATGTGTTGTTATGTTTCACCATTACGAATGTGTTGTTATCTTTCTTGCAAAGATTTATGGCTTACAAGCTTGTGAAACTGGATCACTCTCCATACTTTGCATTTTATTATTATTATTATTATTATTAATATTATTTTTATTTTATTTTTTTTATTTACTTATTTATTTTTTTTATTTTTTTTTTTGGGGGGGGGGCGCACAATGCAATATTATAGCCGTGTTTGATGTTGACCATTGCTTCCCTACGGTCCAGGGCTGGTATTCTGGGCATACCGTGGCCAACCCTTTTATTATATTGTGCGTCCCTCGTGATATTGTATGCATAAAATATCTACAGATATACGTATACAAACTTGCTATATACATTTGTTGTTGCTGTTGGTTCCTATACCAGAGCGTTGTTTGGGGAGCTGCAAATAACCTACGGCCTCATTGGTCGTACAACAGTCAATCACGGAGTTGGAGTACTGTATATTCAACTGAAAACATTGTTTCTACATACCCAAAATATTTTTTTATCTTTCTCTCTCTTACCTATCGTTCTTTTTCTCTCTCCCTCTTACCTATCATTCTGTTTATCTCTCCATATCCCTTATATCAACTTGTCTCTCTTCATTTGTATTTCCCTGTAACCAAAGTTCACATATTTTTTACGAGTATACTTTACAGCGCATAACGAGATTGAACTTTCTACTGTTTTGTGATATATTATTAAGATTATTATGATGTTATACTTGAGTGTTATTATTAGTATCAATCTGTTATGTCTTATCTTACGTGCACTATTTGCTATACCTATGTCACTGTGCTGTGTTGTTGTTGTTGTTGTTGTTGTTAGTAATTTAGAATATTATATCTAAGAATATTTCTAAATGTTTGTTTATCCTACGTACGGAAAAAAATCAATGGAGAAGACTAAGAGAAAGTTGAACAGAAAATAAGATTGAAAGTTGAAGAGAGGAAAACGAGTTAAATTTAAAACAGGGAAAATATAAACAAGAAATTTTACAAGAAAAAACTAAATGTAAAAGTTAATAGCAAGAAGTGAAATAACAAGGAGAGGAAATTTAATGAACTCTAACAAATGATAAAATGAAAGATGTTACTGGGAGATGAGAGTAAAAGTTACTAAGTGAAAGTAGGAGCTAAACTTTAAAGACAAAAAGGTAGTTGAAAGTAGATGAAGAAAGAGAGAAAATATGGTTAAGGTAACAGTAAAGAGGAATGTATTAATGAAAGTTTATGGAGGAAAATATGGGTGAAAAGAAATAGATTCATATAAGATTGAAAGTTTAAGAGAAAAAAGTGAAAGTATGGATGAACGTTAATACTGTACGTATATGAAAGTGACAGTTAACAGTGTAAAACGAAAGTGTCAAAGTTAACAATAAAATGAGTGAGTTGACAATAAAACGAGTGAAAGTTAACAGACTAAAGTAAAAGTTAACAGAATAGTGAGCGAAAATTAACAGAATAAAGCGAGTAAAAGCTACAAGAACAAGAACAAAAGAACGGCGAAAATAACAGTATAACAGTAATTAACTTTGCGAGACGTGCACGAGACATAATTACGAGTTCTGACATCCAACACTTGTTATATAAGTCACACGAGACTATTTCCAGAGTGTTGGGTAGGTAATGTGTACATCATCATTGTTTAACAGCATAAAAAAATTTTCAGGCCCATAGACACTACATACAGTACATTACAAGTCTCCTTTACACACACAAGTTTCAAAAAAAGTTTCATGTAACCTTTGAACCTGTGAACTGTTCCATTAAGGAGTTAGGTACAGTACAAATGAAGCATCACTGAGGTGACTATATAGACAGTATTCGGCCATGGTGACAATTCATGCTGGGTGGGACATGGTGAATATAAATGCCAAATACGAAGATAACTTTTGTCGACATACACATCCTGGAAACATGCCTATACCGCTACATACAGTAGATCTAGATGACACTGACCACCCTGTTAGCGTGAGTAACTATTAATGGCATTGTACTGTGTGTAGGACCAGGAAGGTGGGATTTGTCTGTACAATAATTTTCCCAAGACAAACTGACTGACCCAGTCTTCATATAGACTTTATCTCAAAAATACAATTCATGTTTTCTTTTGACAACAGAATAAAAGCACCAGTGCAGTATATGATTTTCTATGTATCACTTCCTTAACTTATGATTTAGGTAATAAAAGTATGAAGATAAAATAATTAAATATATTAAATAAACAGCATATACATATATAACTCTCCCTAAAGTAATTTGTAAATGTAGGCATTGAACACTTCTTATTATAATTAGGAAGTTCAACTTCCCTTACCATCAGCAAGATGTTTTTAACTACATTGCCTTCTAAAAAGAACAGTAAGACCTTGACTCGGGTATGAAGTGTAGTGTGATAACTTGGTCAAGACGTGAAGGAAGGCGCGTGTGCATCGGAGTAATAACTGGCCTCTAGGATACAGGGCAGTGCCAATGGTGATATTAATGTTACATGGAATTTCTACCATTCCTAAAATGACTGAATTACATATTCAAGAAGTGTGAGACTCACCCAGCTGCCTGACTTAAAACCTCAGGTCTCACTAATCTGCCCCAGAAGAGCGGGAGACCCGACTTCAGGTCCCGTATAAAGAAGATGGCTGGTCGATCAACCACGAAGCTCCTGGAACTTCCCATCCGGTTGAGGGAAGTGCCGGTGGCAGCAGCTGCCTTAGTACCAATCTCCGTGATCTCTACAATTGTCTCGTGGATTACGTCATCCACCCACACATGCCCGTTTGCTATCATCCTGGCGAAATCGGCCTGGCGAGGATCGAAGATGGCCTTTACTAGAAGTGCTTGGAGGGTGGGCTTAAGGCTGGTCTTGTAGCTGAGGCGCATTCTGGGCAGCCACACGTTGACAACGGAGTTGGTCATGCTGTTGATATACCCGTTGATGATGCTTGCGTCGAGCATGAACTCGATATCCTCCAGTTTATCAGAAGCGGGGCCTTGTGACATCAAAATAAACATGGCAAATTGATCACCTTCGTAGGGCAGCGCAATCATGTGAGCATCCAAGTCGGGGATATCTACGTAAGGTACAGTCATAACGGATCGCATCATTGGCACTTCAATGGTCTCTTTTCCAGTATGGAAAGGCGCGAGCCTTGTGAACTCAGGGTCGAAGGGATTCTTCCAATCACCCTTGAAGAACACCGTGTTGGCTGCCACGAATATCGTCTCCGTGCTGAGTGGGTCTGCCAAGAGTTGGGGGATTAGACCATTAGTGCCATCCTTCACCCAATCGTTGATGACGTTAGTCGCTTCGGCGGGTTTCGTGTTGAAGTCTACTATGCGCACACTGGCACCATAACTCTTATTGGCACTGTTGGTGAAGTCAGACAAAATACCAACTCCACTCTGAAGGAAGAGACCATTGGCGACATTGAGAGTAACACCTTGTCTAGCGTGTGTTACGGAATCAATGAGTTCCTTAAAGGTGCTGTGAATCTTGGCTTCGGTAACACCGACAGGAAGATGTAGGGCATTATACAGCTGGTGGTAAGGGACACCTGAGGATCCCAGCAGCAGTACGGAAAGGAGGGAACTTATACTGAGGGGCGAGAACGTCACAGTTCCTGGATCCCTGATCTCCGAAGACAAGTCCAACGCGAACTGTAAACACAAGCACATGGTCAATACTGTGTTTATATATATATATATATATGAAAGTTTGTATGAATTCAAATGTTCACACACAAACAGTATAATTCCATTATTTTCATGGTTACATTACATGTACTGTACATGCAACTGTTTCTAAATACAGTAATATACAGTATTAGACATACATATACCTACAACACACACACACACAAACTCACCTCTTGAATAAAGTCACCAAACCTGACGGCTGGAGCTTCTCTACGGGAGTGGAGGGGTTGTGTAGGAGTAAGGGGGCCAGCCTGACACCAGCTTACCCCTAACAAGGCTATTATGATCACCAAGTAACGCATCCTGCAAGGGGGAAACATACCAGTTGAATATATTTCACTAATAAAATGACATAGGATCACCAACATGACCACACTTCTATATTAATATTAAACCAAGCTACAATACACCCAGGTAGTAGGTAGTAGGCAGCTACCAAACAGGGAAGTACTACCGTCTGGGAAGATATTGGAAGCATAATGTGTTGTCTAATGGTAGACCCTGCTGCCATATGGCATCACGAATATTGTGACCAAGTCCCAGGTTGCTGATCTGACTTTCTGCCTCATTTACCCACAATTGCAGGGTCTCAATTGTTTCCCTTACTATTGACAACACAACATATACTGTACATACTGTATATTGTTTCTCACTCTTGATCTTTTTTTTCATTTTTGTATTTCTTTATTATTTTTATTATTATTATTATTATTATTAGTATTATTAGTATTATTATTATCATTGCAGTGTTGTTATTATTGCTATCAGTATTATTTAATTATTTTTATTTTTGGATTTTTTTATTATATATTTTACTTATCTGAATTATTATTATTATTATTACATTTTCGCCCCCCAGGCCCCGATGTGGGTCAGTGACCTGTGCCCGGATGGGCTAATCCCAGTAAAAAAAAAGTATTGATATACTCTACAAAGTAACAATACCCCCAAATGTACTTATATAAAGGGGTATTCTGCAATACATAATGAGCTCGGTTACAATACATAAATACTGTACCAAGTTAGGCTTCACAAGTTCCTTATAGGATTAGGTACTACTGTACTGTATGTAGCCTATTGTCTCCTCGACAACACTAGCTAAATATTGGTCCAGGCTTCACTACTGTAATCAACGTTATTTTGCTACACTAACACTTTACAAAGTTAATGACAATGGACACATAAAATTAATTGTAATATTCTGCACCTTCATGTGTAATGCTACAGTATACAGTGCTAGATCGTTAAAGTGATGCATGAAATACCCTAATTCACGAGCATGACTTTTCGTTCAGTTATGTTACCTTGACATCCAAACGAATATAATTATAGTAAGTTGATGTTCCAATTCATCTTGCGCTTCAACAACTACAGTAAGGTCTTTAAACGCGTATCTAGGCGAGTACCTACACTATTCGACAATAAAAATAGATACGTCTCCCTAGTTTGCTTCATCCAGTGTCTTTAAAAGGCCAAAAAGTTGAGCGGAGCCAACCCCCCTCCATCCTGTCCACGCATCACCGCCACGCCCACCCACCCCTTGTTGTTGCCATTGTATTTATGCAGTGTTGCACGTCGAAGTCCCTCGCTTCATCCTCGAAATATATACACTTCCTGCCTCAGTCCTTGGATGTTCAAAGCTTGGTACGTTATTGTTCCACCTGACTGGCTCGTATGCTGGTAAGTGGTAAGTGGCCAAGAAGTTAAAGTATTAATGGATAACCGAACTCAACTTTAGTTCCTGGCGTCTTCATCCTTACATACGTGCAGACGCTGTGAGAGGCGTTCTCATAACTTCTGTTATTGGAATACACTGTATATCGCATGAACCTTAAGAATCCCCGGGAGGGCCCTGGTGTGATTCATCATGGCGGCCTACTTGCCCTACTACATTCCAGTGGTCATCATCCTCGAGGCTGGCAGTGCCCCAACACACCGCGTCTTTACGTTAACATTTTCGTAAGAGTATTCTGGAGGATGACGTGAGGCTAGTGTGCCTAGATATTTGTCATTTCTGTAAAAATAACTGGAACTATTCCGCAGGGTATTGTGGCGTGACTATGTACAGTCATCCACAAAAGTCCTGTCGTCTCTCCCCGCTGCTCCTCGAGCCCCGAGATTCGACTCGTGAACTCGAAGCAGAAGACACTAATGCATTACTCTGTCCATAAATGCTTCGGGTTCACGAATATTATTCTCGGGGTTCGTGGTTCAGGAGGGGAGGCGACAGGACTTTTGTGGGTGACTATTGTACAAGGCTCTGAAGTCATATGTCTTGATCTGCTTAATAAAGTCCAGTCGTCTCTCGAATGTTCACATGTTCAAAGACTAGGGTGATATTTATTGTAATATTGATTTTAATTTGTCGCCGTATTACCTTTGAAGCTATGCAAGGAATTAGACACACCTAATTGTAATTATTATTTGTGCTTTTCATTTTTATTATAAATTGTGCTAATAGTTTCTTGAATCGTTAAATAGCGAATATGAAGTTGTTGATCGCAAATTGTATACTGTACTGCATATATATTTTCTATTTTGAATTTAGTTGTCATCTGTGTGAATGAAAGTTATTTTTTTTTTTTTTTTTTTGGAAAATAGTTAAGAGTAATAAAATCCTTGAGCTGCTTTTTCCTTGACAGACGTCCTTAAATCAGTGAACTCTCTCTTAACTTCACCAATATCGCATGATACTCCAGCCACAAAATTCACCGCAAGTATAGCAGTCCCAACGTTATTTTTCACTTTGGCGGTGTTTTGTTGTCCAATTTTCCTAAGAAAACATTGTTTAACTCTTTCACCTCTTCCAGCATAGCTAAAACCTGCTGATAGATCTCGTGCCCTCAGCCAGCAGATATCTTTAGTACGTTTTGAAAGCATAACTGTGATTAGCCGATTGGCCCACAGGATGACTCACTCTTACAGTGTTTACTTTTGAAATTACAATACCCAAACAGCAACGCAAAATAATTTAAGTATGGAAGATTTACAATATTGTTAGCAGTTTGAAAGTTTGAATACCGCAAGCCGGTTACAGCTTCGCCGAGTGTATAACTTACGGTGTTTTGCGTAGCCGCGTTCATCATTGTCAAGCTCAAGGGGAAATATCAACTGTGAACACTGCGCACTGCACTTTTATTAATAAACACAACAAAATTACTTCATTTTTTATCATAGGAAACTGAACAGGGTTTTTTGTTCAATTTTAGAAAATAATGCGATCACTATTTCCCAAACTTAGCGACTGTCCGAGGGTCGTGATGCATATTTACTGTATTCAGTAGCCGACTAACTTAAAGATAATGCACACAACTCCAACACTGAATTCGTATCAAGCTGAGGCAAAAATGACAGCATACATTACCACGGACCTCCGTAACCTTTAATCAAGAAATGACAATGCAGTATTGCAGTGAGGAGAAATTTATTCAAAAATGCCAATCCCAAAATAAGTCGTGTGCATAAAGATACTAAATTCTAAAAAAAAAATAAAAATAATAATAAAAAACTGTTTGCTATATACATAATATCCCAGGGAATTAATCACTGTTTTAGGAACTTGAATTTAAGAGATGATAAATCGCAATTACTGGTATGCGTATTTACGTGTCATAACATTGCCGTTGGTGACGATCACTTTGGTGCACATATCGCAACTCCATCGTTAAGTAATGATCATCTTAGGAAAATCAGGGATGGAGGTAAAGCGGTTAACAAGTACACCGGAGTTGGGTGAATTTCTCAGTTATCATTACTATATTATAAATGACATCGCCCCTCCCCAACACCCCTCATCCTCCAACTTCGCACTTCTCAGCCTCCAATAACCTCACCATCGTCTTCCATGAACCATTGTCAGTACAGTACTGTATTTTCTACACCAGTAACCACCACACTCAACACTGTAAATATAATGGCTGTCACACACACATAACTTTATATGATGATGGAGGTCAGCTAAGTAAGCAACTCTCACTTGCCGCAACAAGACTTGGACACAACCTACCTTCTGTCCTGTCGCTGCGGTAGCTTGACTAACACTGATTCTCCTCCACTGAAACTCTTCTATAAATCTTGATCCAGTTGCAACAGTACCTGGAAATGTCCGCCTCTGTTGACACTGCATATGGGAACCCCCAACTTACGCACGGCGATATACTGTACAACTGAAGGAAAATTGTAACAGCGGGCCCGTGTTTACAATCTGGATATGGCTTCACCGCACCCCACTTATATAACTAGTTGGCAACCGCACAGATGAATCTCCTGCTCTGTGCATCTATGGGCGGGACTTATATACTAAAGCCATACTGTTGTATGACACCATCTTAACTAACCTAAATATAAAACGACGATGACTAGTTTTTTTTAAGTTATACATGGATAATGTAAATATCTACATAAAACAATGTTACAGGGAGTCACTTCTTTCTCTTGGGAAGTCCCATTGACGTCACAACTCCTCCCCTCTCCCTCTCCATGGGGGTACCTCAGCAGCAGAAGGGAGTGGCAGTATAAACACATTCCTGTACACATAACACTTTGCCATTATCCAGCTGATACACCACAGAATAGTTCACGAAACATAACACGAAGAGAAGCCATGGACACGTGGGCTACCTCAGACACTTATTTTCAAAGCGTAACTGAAATATTTCGTAAAACCGCCGTACAAGTTCACAAAATTTCAAAATATATCAAGGATACCCCTAAGAAAGTCGTTACAAAGTCATGCTAGGATGCTTATAAAAAATATAGGAAAACGATGACTGCTAAAAAAAAAAGCAATGGGTGGGTGGTGAAACTGGGGTTGTATGTGTGTCTGTGTGTGAGTTGTGAGGTGGTGGTGGTGGGCGTGAACCGTGGTAGTAGCGTGTGGTGTGGGTGTAACTTGACTGTGGTAGAAGAAAGGCAGTGTGGGCGTGGTGTGGTGTGTACGTGCATGCCTTAAAGCAAAGCAACAACAAGTATTATGAGCATTACACAACATCAGGAGAAACTCGCTCTGTTGGTGGAGATGTCTTGAGCGTGTGTGACCTTGGCTGTGGGTTTTTCCGTTTTTCTGTCTATCTATCTAACTATGTACAGTAAGACTTAGCAAAAACACAATATATTTTTAACTTAAAGACCTTCAGAACAATAAATTCTTCTTATTCATATTATATATTTTATTATCAATAATATTCTTCACCGTACGAATAGAGATAAAAGTAAAAATAATAATGCAGATGAGTGTGTGTGTGTGTGTGTGTGTGTGTGTGTGTGTGTGTGTGATGGTAAATGAACAGTTATATACCGTAACAATACTTTAAAATCTAAGAACCCTTTTCATCCGGAATAAAAAATAAATAAACTTATAAAATTCAATTACATCAAACACCGCCACACACACACAAACACACACAGATTGATTATTTTACTCATTAAAAAATAAAGGATGCAACTGAGGATAACATTCCGTACGTAATTAAATATAAGTAAATAAAAACTAAATATAATACAGTATATTAATATAAAAGGAGACCGGTGTGCACGAGGCAAGTGTTACGTAGCCTCTCTAGAACAAAAGTGAGTTGTGACGGTTACATGTTAATCTTCTTAGCTCACCCATAAACAAACTCTTGTACTAATTACGGTATTTTTCCCCTTGTATATTCTGAAAAGCCTTGAATGGCACTGATACAACGAATTTATTACTCGTAAACTCATGCAGTTGCTTTATTAAAATATTGAAATACTGTATTATGGGACTCCTCGGTAATTATATATTTAATAATGGCGCTTTCTCGCTCTTACCCTGAGCCTTTTATCTTAAACAAAACAAACGATATTGCGTCGCATTTTACGACAAAGGACTCTCGTAATGGTAAAACAAACAAAAAAATACCCCCCAAAATCATATTACATAAATTAGGCCTATAAGTGCCTGGCATTCGTTCATCATACTAAAGCAAGTGTTGCTATTCCATTGACTTTCGAACTTTAAATTTTGTCCCTTGACACGATGCAATGGATATTTTTAACGGTTTTATTGACATCTAACAAATTTTTAATTCATATAATAAGTAAATGACATAACAGGTAGAAAATAGTAATCATATAACTTAGCCTTTTAAAATCATACACGCGTAACAGGCTCGACATATTGAATGTGTCATGTGAATTCATATGCCACAATCATAATGTCGAGCCTGTTACCATATATTTAACAAATAGAAACAAAAATACGGACACTGCCGTATACATTATTACTATACAACCGTAAATTTGGCGGCAAATAAAAGCGACGGACTCGGAAATATAGGAATGTCGTTCATGATATTTTACTTAACACGTCCGTTTTATACATTTAAATTTGAAATGTATGAGACAATCTACAGTTTCCACGTGCAAGGCGATATTAAAATACACTCCTAGGATGAAGTTGTAATATATGATAATTACAATGAACAAAATTCTTTGGGACTGCGAATGTGTCCCTGTTTCTCCGCTAATTCAGCCCCTTTTTTCTGTTACGGCAAATAATGGCGGGCATAGTTTTTATCAAGGGCATTACACACTCTACCCTTTAAATTGATGTGCCAGACTATGACGCAAAGCCAGAGTAACAGGAAAAGCCTTATACGATACAAGGGCACCCTCACTAATGGTATATGGAAGTTGTCTGCATGGGTATTTCTACTGTCCACGCAATACTTCCGGACACCCACCTTCCCAGCTAACCCTTGGCATTCTGAGGGTTGGGGACAAAAGGGTTTTGTGTTAGGGTTGGGCACATGGGCGTGGGAGAGGGTGAGAGTAGCCCGAGCGGCTAACGAGCCGATCAGTGGTGAAGAGGATAAAAGTGTAATGGCCGGGTGAGGATTTGTGGTGAGGGGAGCTAGTATGGGATGCACAGGGTATAGGATTTGAGGAGAGTATGAGGACTTGTAGAGGGAGAAGGAGAGGAGAAAAGTGGAGTTGGGGATAGAAAAGGGTTGGGGATGGTGGTGGGAGAGAAGTATGGTGTGGTGACTGTAACTTGGAGATCTACCATCCGGTAATCACGGCTATCCACGCAAGCGAAGAAAATGGCCGTAAAACAGTGATGATGATACTTCATAGGGTCGTTCACCTCTGATGACCGCCGTCTGTATCACTGTATTGTACCTCGTCCTGTTGCCGCCAACAGGATTGAAGGGAACTGGAGACGAGGCGACACGTACAGGGTGTGAAGAAGGGTCACAATAAGGGGTGGAAATGAGGCGATACAGAAGGTACGGAGTGAGAAGTACAATGAGGAGAGATGTACAGGGGAGCGGCGGGGGGTAAGAGGCGCCATGGATGACCTCGCACACAGAATGCACTTGATATATAAGCGGTCAACTTCTCATGAGTAGTGAGTGTGTGTGTGTGTGTGAGAGAGAGCCTAGCTTGTCTTATTCACTTCCAATATTACTGGAAATAATGTTGCGTATACTGTATCTTTTTAAGCCTTGTTAGGCAATCACTGAGTCATGTGTGTGTGCAATAATAATAATAATAATAATAATAATAATAATAATAATAATAATAATAATAATAATAATAACCGGTTTATTGAAAAAGGTACAACAGTCAAATAGCTGAAAATATTACATTCAGTGACATGGTGAAGTGGGTCGTTTAACAAAAGCTTTCATTACAAAATGAAACACGAACATAAAGTGAGCATTCACATTATTGTTCATAGTGGATGGCAGGGGCTGACCTCTTGCCCATCTGTTTGAGGTCACATAAGCCACATGCACTAAGGCGTTGAAAGGCAAACCGTGGTGCAATTCCACGTTCACAGGTGTTGTCATGAGATACCTCACGCGAGTGTGTGTGTGTGTGTGTGTTGTCAGGCAGGACTGTACTTGGGGTTCATCAAGGTTGGGGTTTCCCGGGGTACGAGAGCGGGCGCTTGACATGCTTCCACCCTCAGAATGATAACAATACATACACACACACTACTAACACCCATACCAACCACTAGCCACTAGCTCTCACAGCAAAAAGGCCTCACAAACCACCACACTGGCCCCCATCCCATCTTTAAAAAAAGGCTCTGAATATAAGCTTCCCTGCCTCGTGTCGAAATATCTAAGCCAACTTTTTCGCATTTCTGCGCCAAACGTTTCTGATTATTCTCTCTCCCTTTTTGTTTCCCTTTCATCTTTTTTTCTCCCTTTTCCTCTGTACGTTAGCTCCATCTTTTTGTTTTCCTCTGTTTATCTGCCAGATGCTCCGGGCTTCAACACATCGGGCATTTTCAGGCCCTTGCCACCCATGTCATGGTCATGATGACCAAGACTTCCCCAGGCTGCCTTGTGATGTCCACACTCCCGCCCCCGTCATGCATGCACAAGCCGTGGGAAAACGTGGGGCGTGGGATAGCGCTAACGAAAGTCTCCATAGATTTTCCTAAAACGAAGAGCTGTAACACATACCTTTTGCAGTACTGGAACAAAAGGCCAACAAAATTTATTCACTCTTACAAGATATAAGTCAACCTTCGAGATAACAGATAACCCCTCGCGTCTGTATGTCACGTTCTCATATTACCGAAAGACTTTTAAGTGAATCACTACTGTGGTACTACCGGTGACCAGATAAAATCCCAACGGACAAAACCCCAGTCTCATATATAAAATATAAAATAAAACACTTTTTGTTTAGGTTAGGTTAGTGTTGACAAATGACAACCCCTTTGGGGTTTTGTCCGTTGAGGTTTTGTCGTGGATCCGGTACTACCACATACACGAGGTTCGGTGTCTAAAACATTTTGTCCTGCTGATTTAACACGTATACATATCACTAACTCAAATTTATTGGGGTTAATAAGCCCAAAAATATTCAATGCACTGAATAGATACAAACAGCCGTAATGACTTACCAGTAGCTGAGTGTCGTAGTTTTGTAATGAGTTCGTGTACAGTACTAACCAAACACCAAATGCACTAGATTTTCACTATTTATTAGATGTTTATAAAGGCAAGTAAAAGTTAACTAACTTTGGCACTAATCGTGATATACAAATGGCTACCTTTGCTGAATGGGCTACAAATTTCAGTGTCTATCAACATCACTTTTTTTTTTGCCAGTTAATTTGATGTTCGAGTTGATGAAAGTCAGAAAGACTACCGAAGAAGATTTCAAGGAATGAATAGCTAATGTGCAATCAACAACGCAATTGTAAACGAAACAAAGTTAACAACGTTTTGTTTC